TAAGCTCAAAGCTACACAATGAGCTATCTGTGCTCTGCCCACCACGGATATCGAAACCCGGATTTTAGCGTTGTTAGTCCGCAGACATACTGCTGTGCTACTGGGGACTATTTTTTATTGCAAACTTACATGAAGTGTAAATTTTCAACAAATTTTCCAGTTGGTCCTCAATTTCATGAAACAGTAGTTTTAATTATATGTTCTATTAATCCATAATTTCAACAAGTAGCACATATATTTTATAATAACTTTATATAATGTAGTTTATAATAACCACATGGAAGTACAAATCACGCTTGACAGGTGCTTGGCTGTAACCAAGGAAAACAGATGTTATGTGTCTGAACAAGATCATGTAATAATATGACCCCATTGATATAGACAGTAAAAATTAAGACTTTAATAGTTCCTGTTTAAATATATTTAAAAGAACCAAATGGTTTTCTCTTTTTAACACAATTATGGAAAAAGTTTAAAATCGCGTAGAAAAATTGCTTACTTATTTCAGCCATTATTATCATTTTAATTGAAAATCAACTCAGCGCTATCGGTTGAATATTCTACAGCCTAACTTAATTATCGAAATGACTATTTTCCAGGTGAGTACGAATAGAGTAAGTGTTTTATGAAGTTTTGACAAAGTAATTGTCCGCTGGTGGAACATCGATAAGTTTACGGACTTACAACACTAAAATCCAGTGTGGCTTTGTTCTAACAGAAACATACAGACAAAATAATATTTATTATCTCCCTTCATTATAGTATAAACTAAAAATAGATTAAGTTTGACAAGTCCATGATATATCTTGTTATCACATCAGCTCGTTTTGAAGTATATTCATAATGAAATATTAGAACTTTAAAACAAGTTTCGTGTATGATTCAATGATTTTTAACAGGACTTCATTAGAGAAAAAAAGAAAAAATATTTTTTTTTACTAGAATAATTATTCTTCAATACTGTAGTTAATAATAGATCGTTATGGAAAACCATTGTACGTATTGGTGCACTACATACAGATGATATATTAAGGTATTGAGTGTTGCTAGCTTTGAAGAGGGTGTTGCTGCTTTATAAAAGGATTTAAATCATTTAGTGAGTTGGGCAAATAAATGACAGATGGGTTTTAATTATAATAAGTGGAAAATAATGCATGTGGGTTATCATAATTTGAATTGTTAATATAATTTGGATGGGAATAACCTTAACAATGTCATGAAAGAAAGAAATCTTGGGGTTGTGGTTGATCAGTCTCTTAAGCCATCCAAGCAGTGTGCTGTTGCTAGTGGTAAGGCAAATAGGATTTGAGGTTGTATCTATAGAAATATTGAATGCAAGTCTAAATAGGCTATAATTTCATTGTATAGGTCACTGGTTAGGCCAAATTTGGAATATTGTGTTCACTCTTGAGCTTCTTACCCTGAGAAGGACATTGACTTGTTGGAAAGGGTTGACAGGAGGGTTATTACAATGATGCCTGGGATGGATGGTTTATCACATTAGGAGAGACTAAGATCTTTGAAATTGTTTTCTCTTGAAAAGTTAGAAGGAAACTGATTGAGGTGTTTAAGATTGTAAAGGGAATCATCTTTTTTTTTCATACTTAACGGCAAGAATAGCACGACTAGGGGACACAAATATAAGGTAGGAACCATCTTCAGCTAGAACAGTTTTATTTTTCCAACAGAGTGTTTGGCCTTTGGAATGGTTTGCCTTCGGATGTTGTAGAGGCAGTAAATTTAATAGAAAGCTTGATAACTATATGAATGATAAGAGCTGGCTTTAAGATTTCCTTAAAATTTATAATATATTGGTTTAGAGGATGTGACAGCGAGGATGGACCAATAGGTACCTTGTTGTCCCTATGAGGAGCTGACGTAAAAGTTCATTTAGTTAGTTGAACCAACACTCTTTATCTCTAAGAGATTGTTTTCATCAAATAACTTTTATGTATTATTGTTAGTTCTATGTATTATTCGAGACACACACACACATATATATATATTGTTTCTATTTTATACTATTAGTGATTTTATGATTATAGCATTGAAAATCATATTGCCCATACTGAGGATAATAATTTATAATTCAATTTTCTTAATTTTGATTACACATACAATACTTTAATGTTAGTATACACTTTACATGGGTTGTTATTTTCATATTACTTAATAATAATGTTGCATCGGGTTTTTATGTAGTACGACTTGTTACTAATGTACATTTTTTTTAAACAGGCATGCGAATCCTGGTCATGCTCCTACTAGACACACTTCCTATGTTAGGTAATGTCCTACTATTGTGTTTCTTCGTGTTCTTCATATTTGGAATTGTAGGCGTTCAGTTATGGGCAGGTCTTCTCAGACAGCGATGTTTCATGGAACAATTTCCTCCTGATATAAAACTTCCGGGGTAAGATTCTATTGAGGTATATTAAGATTTACTTAAACTATAAATCAGAAAATTGCATAATAGTCTCAACATTTCGATAAAAAAAATGACCCTGAAGTTTGGATAATTAAATAAACTTCAATATGCTAAACTCAACAAGAATAAACATCCTGCCATCCCTTAAATATTTTGAAAAATGGATCTGGTTTAAGTGGATGACTGCTTCATAGTGGCTGCTTTATCCTTACACTTTCTGTAATAATTATGGGTTAGTCATAATTTTTTCTCTTTACGTTTGAAAACACTGAGTTAATTCAGTGAAATGCCGTATCCTTAATTTGTCAAAATCTCGAGGATATCATACTATTTTCTCATTTCTAATCTTGAGTAAGAGTCTTTCAACTCTAACACTGTGTAGAATAAATTTTTTCCTCACATTCTCAGAGAAATAACCAGTCCTTTAATGTCAATAATTTCTATGTAATTTTATCTCAGTTGAAAAGAGTATTAAAATACTTATCAATATTGTTCCATTTATTAAAGTAAAAAGTTTTACAGTGTTGTGTCGTTTATTACGGTATACTTCACTTATCTTCATCATGAGTTTCAATTATTATTCATTTTCATTATTATGATATTACTTTGCTTCTAGAGAGGCAAAACTTTATATTTTTACAAAAATGTTTACTTCCTTTTTTTTTACACAAAACCTATCGTTAATTTATTATAGCATTTTAGCCTAAATGGTTAAAAAGAGGGAAATTATTTATAGACGAGAACATCTGTAGTGTAACAGGACATTATTTTTAAATCATTTATATTATTTTTAATATATAACTTCATTACAACTGTAGAACATTTCAAACTGTCGAATCTATCAAAAGAAAATAAACCCTTAATCCTTACATAAAATATAGATCGAAATTCACTAAAATTAGAAACAATTTCATTAATGCCATATATAATGTATTTTAAGGAAGTACATTACATTTGGCCCGGCATGGCCTGGTTGTTACGGCGCTCGACTCGCAATCTGAG